TTGAATATAGTTTTTCCTTTTAAAATTGGTTTATAAATTTAATTGATATGTTTGCATATACATGTATGTATGTTAAGAAGTTATTATGTAAATTATTCAACAATTATCCTCTATAAAGTGGGGGTGTCGTCACCTGCGCATGCGTCTGATGGCCATAGTGTGTCATTGTTTACAAACAAGTGTTTACCCATGAGCCTTTGCATTTTTAGCATGTGTTATAGTCGCTTAGGACTCAATTCCTACACGTGCACAAGTGACAACCCTCTCGCTTTAACAAATGTTGATGTTATACCAAATCATATAATGCATTTATTTTTCAGGTCCACCATATACACTTTATTTTGGCGTCAAATTTTATGTTGAAGATCCTTGTAAATTGAAAGAAGAGATTACAAGATACCAGTTCTTTTTGCAACTCAAAAAAGATATGTTACAAGGAAGACTCCCATGTACACATAATATAGCTGCGGAATTATGTGCGTTTTGTGTGCAATGTGAGTATTATCATTCCAATATACATATACAAATGTACGGTATTCACTGTCATATTCTTTACTGAAGATGTTAAAATAGATGTTAAAATTTTGTTACGTCTAATGTATTTTTGGTTTTTCTTACTAGCTGAACTTGGTGACTATGATTCAAGAAGGAATTCATATGGATATATTTCTGAGTTTCGCTTTGTACCAAGCCAAACTGAAGAACTTGAAAATCAGATAATGAAAATTCATAAAACATTAAAGTAGGTATTTTGTATTTCCTATCTGTGTGTAATGCCATTCACTGATAGTTTACAGTAAAACAATCTACTGTAAAATACTTTATTCTTGCTTGAACTATTTTTTGCTGAAAAGACATTTTGGCTCTTCTGTATGAAGTTTCTTGAAACTGATTTTTGTAACTGATGAGATGAATGTAAAATATAAGAAAACAGGTATTTTTACTGGATTTTATTTTCACTGATTCATTCCTAAAGCGAAAATGAATTGCAGGTTAAAATAAAGTACCTTACAGTATATATTAACCCCACTGATGTAGAGGAATTCAAACATACATGTTTACAATTTTAATTCACACAAGCTAAGTGTGCTCAGTTTGATATATGTCCTGGTTTAAAATAAAACCCTTCGAAATAGAAGTAGAACGTCGAACGTTCGTCGTCGAATGTAGCATACAACTAAAACTTGTTTCTCAATATAAAAGTCTAAACTGCTCCAACCGTAACTCTGATTTCTTCTATAGAACTATATAATCCTAAAATGTACTGGAAATGCATTGGTATTTAATTTAACTATTTTGATATTTAGCTTAATGGTTTTAATGCCATGATACATGTAAAAAAATAATAAAATAATACAGTGGCCCCTCGCTAAGTCGCGGGTGTTGGGATCCAAGCGAAAACCGCGACTTATCGAGGGCCGCGACTTACCGAGGGACGTCGTGAA